CTCCACCTTCTGCTTCTTCATTTTCCCACTAAATCTTACTGCTGCACTAGGTTGTCTATTCAGACAAGAATTTTCAGATTGTTATGCTGATCCAGTAGTATCAGTGTACTCCTGTAGGATCACAAAGAAAATAAAAGTTAAGCTTTTCTTCTCATGAGTCAGCAGAAAATATTTAGTATAAGTTTTCAGAGTCTTTGGACAGCATCGGTTAAACTTTCTGCCAGCTCAGAGCAAAGGCTTATAAGACTCTTGTAGATGCTAATGGCAAAATTATAACAACTCAACTCAAAAACACTTTTTAAAATGAGAATGTACAAAAGAAACTTAATACATTTTTCTAGCATCTTGCAAAGAAAAATAGAGGAAAACAAAGCAAAACCTTATGAACCCTAATACTGCAATCACAGCATTTAGAATTTAGTTAAGCCTGGTTTAAGATTTTATATTAATTCTCTAATAACACAGCTTGGTGCACAAAGACCTAAACCACTTCAAATTTGCTGTATAAAATGAGGGATAGCATTCCATACTATCACTGTTTAGCACAACAGCACATCTTGACTTACTTTAACACCTCCTTCTTAATTCTCAACTGTAATTTTCTTAGTTCACTGAGTTTTGTATCAGCAGCCAGACATGGCTGATAAGATCAGTGGCTTTATGTTGCCCTGCCAAGGCTGTTTTTCTCACAAAAAAAATATTTCAAGTATGTTCAGGTCAGAGCAATTGCCTCAAGGCCAGCGTATTGTGCAACTTAGTCCTTGCTAAAGTTTCACCTTAGCGAAAACGCATCCTTCAGTCTCCATCCCAGATGCAAGTCTAGTCAGAAAATGTTGTCTCCCTTTAGACTTTTGCAAGTCATTTGTGGATGCTGAAGGCCACACGGAACCTCCAGCAGCGACAAGTGCAGAGCACTTCAAAGAAAGGGGCAGGAGAACCCAGCCCAAATGTTAATTCGTTTTCTTATTGAAGAGAAGTTAGTGACTGGTTTTATGGTTTCTGAGTGTACAGCAACATCACTTTTTTTCTGAATTCAGATTAAATTTGGGGGTTCTCTTTTAGAAATATTTCTCCTTTGGCCAATCACACACTGTAATAGAAGTATTTATTTCAATTCACTTTACATTATTGCCTTTCATTCAGCAAATGGCTTGAAAAAGCAGCAGCTTCTAGTCATTTAGCTATTCAAGAACTATTAGCAAGGAATACAGATACCAGCAAATGAACTTGGAATTGCATCTTTTATGTGATAGGAATGTCTATGTATGGATATGTGACATGTTAAATTTTGCAAATGGCTGCAATTCCCAACTAGAGGGGAAAATAAACGCATAAAAAGTTCTAGTGTATAATGTAAGTACAAGTCTGTAAAACACACCAGCAGCTGCATGTGGATATACACATCTGATCTCTGTATATATTCTGTCTTTCTGCAAATTTCAAATATGTCATTCAGAAACACTTGGAATAAGAAATAAAATTAAACAAGTTGTTGTTAAACCCATCAAGCTAAAATAAAAGTTTTATTTAGACATGTTTCTTGCTCTCTTTTTCCTTCCAAAATTCAAATTTAGCTCCTTTTTCCATTCAAGGAGGTTCTCGTTAAGTTTTTTAGGAGTTTCCCTAACCAGAAAAACAGATGTTGGCCTAAACAAGAGTAGCAAGCAAGAACACACCGTATTTACATTTTGGAGACAATTTCTCACTCGCTAACCTGCTTTTGTTGGATGCTGAATTTCTTATTTCTATTTTTCATTGATTCAGGCATCTTGATCTGCTGAACAGATTGACAAATGTAAACTTAGAATAAGCTGAAATGCTACCCCAAGTACTGCCACAAAATATGCTGAGCAAATCAGCATTCAGTCACACCCAGAAGCAACAGTGCAGGAAATGAACTGGGCCTAGAAGATCACACATTTTCCTTTCCTTTTTTCTCTTCAGAAGTTTTCAGTTGGCAGATAAAATCTCTAGATATCACAAGATTAAACAAAGGCATTACTAATACTGGGAATTATTTTAAAAAATAACAAGTACCTAAACATATATTTCCATCCTGAAAGGCCCACAAAAAAGGCAGAAGTATCTTAGCTACAAATCAGATTTTCACTTTATTAACACTTCTATTTAAAACAGTTTCCCTGTGTGAACATCATGGATTTCAGTTTGGTCTAACATTGCAACAGATGGAGCAAGTAAGTGAAGTGGGGGAAAAGTGAAAGACAGAAATGGATACAACAAGGTAGTGCAGAACACACAAAAAATTGTGCCATCAACATCCTTTATCATCTTCAATAAAAATTAAAGTCAAGGAGAGAGAATGTAAAACTTATTATTAAAACTGTGA